GCTGCACCTGCAGGAAATTGCGACAGCGTACGAATTGACGACCAAATTCAATGGCTCGACGATGATCAAGTCACCCTCAGCCATATGAGGGCACGTCAGAAGCACCATCACCACCACCGCGTTTTCCCCATGGTAGGCGTTGGGGCCCGTCTTGACTTGAATAACCACCCCCGAGATGCTGCGCCAATAATGACTCAGAATGATGAAGAAGCAGACCTACCTGCGCTCAAAGGCCTTATCAAGGGCACACAGAAGTATTTCAGATCGAAAGGATCTATCGCACGAAACTCCCAGTTCCATGGGCTTACCCCTGAAGAGCGAGAGAGACTGGGAGGTGTCGAGTATAAGGCTGTTTCCTTACTGCTGGTCATTGTTGCCCTCTACTGGGTCCTGTTCCTCCTTTGTGGTATCATTGGGATGGGTACCTGGATTGCAGTGAATCATCCAGATATACCTCGAGCAAATGGCCTATCGCCTTTCTGGACAGGCGCATTTTTTGCAGTGTCCGCATTTGTGAACAGCGGCATGTCGCTCTTGGATGCGAATATGACTGCTTTCCAGACAAAGTATGATCTCCCAGTGTGTTACGATTGAAAGTATGCTGATAGTTATATAGTGCGTACCCTCTGCTTACCATGGCATTCTTGATTCTATCTGGGAATACACTCTACCCATGCTTTTTGCGGTTCATTATCTGGGCAATGAGATGCGTGGTCCTGGATAAGCCGTCATGGGCGACCTGGAAGGTTACCCTAGACTTCATCCTTGACCATCCCAGAAGAGTATGCCGTTGACCCTCAAGATATCTGCACCGTTTCAGACGCTAATACAAGCATAGGTTTACACAAATCTCTTCCCAAGGAGACATACATGGTACTTGCTCGGTACCATTATCATCTTGAATGCGATCGACTGGGCAGGCTTCGAAGTCCTCTCAATCGGGAACAAGGAGATCGAAAGCTTGCCGACGGGCTATCGGGTCCTCGACGGACTATTCCAGGCTTGTGGTTCGTACTATATGCAACCTCGTTATGAATGCATGCTTTATCTGATACATTTTGTTGTCTAGCTGTACGAGCGGGAGGCTTCTACGTCGTCACGATTGCAAATCTCCGACAAGGACTACTTGTTCTATATGGTAAGCACTTATCCCCCTCAAACTTTGACCAGAAATGTACTAACGTTCCACAGTTCTCATGATGGTTAGTTTATCAGTACTCCGTAGCCAAAAGAAAAATCACCAGTCTAACCCCCTGTAGTATGTATCAGCATACCCAGTGCTAGTCACCATGAGGTCAGTAACAACCGCCCCTTTCCTTCCTCCCAACACCCCACTAACAACCACAGAAACACAAACGTATACGAAGAGCGCTCCCTGGGAATCTACGCCCACGACAACACAGACGACGAGACCGAAGAAAAAGCCTCTCCAAACATGTTCATCCAACTAGTCCGACACCACCTTCTCGGACGCCAAGATGCATCCACCCCCGAAGCATCCCGCAGTTACTTCGTCCACCAGCAATTGCGCTCCCAACTGAGCCATGACCTTTGGTGGATCGCCCTCGCGGTCTTCCTCATTGCCATCGCAGAATCAGGCAATTACAGCCGCATGCCCGTGGCATATTCGACCCTGAACATTATTTTCGAGGTCGTCTCCGCTTACGGTTGCGTCGGCATCAGTGTGGGCTTTCCCAGTTCGAATGCCTCGTTCTGTTCCTCGTGGCATACCATCAGCAAGCTTATCCTGGCGGCTGTCATGCTGCGCGGTCGCCATAGGGGTCTTCCGGTTGCTATTGATCGCGCTGTTATGCTGCCGAACGAGTCCCTTGAGTGGGCCGAGGAGGAAGATGCTGCTATGAGACGGGAGCAGTCTCGTGCTTGGGGGAGTGATAAGATGCCTATAGGATCTGTTTAAGTGCTCACTCACTTTGATTGGGCTTGGTTGAAGAGTGGTTGTATGGTGAAAGTGATTTTTACAAAAGGGGTGTAGTATGATGTTGTGTGGTCGGTTGCAGTGATTCTTTGTTTCTTCTGAGTTGTTATTTGTTCTTGTGATTATCCTGTTTGTGATTTTGTTTGTGAATTTCTGTGATTTCATTCGAATTCTAGAGTATACAGTATGCGTTCAATCAGAAGTTAGTACTGCACATAGAACTGTCCCAGCACTTGCAGCCAACTCTAATAGCTTTTGGATAGTAGTGTACACTATGGCGCAACATACGAACAAATCAGCTTTGACCACACACGTATTCTAACTTTTATATTGACACCAGCAGACCAGACAAGATATATCCCATAAAGCTACGACTGATATATAACAAGACAGTGAAAAAAGAAAAGAAAAAAAAGGGTACAAAAGGAGCCTGATTAAACAGCTTAATCCTCCTCTTCTTCGAACTCGACCTCTTCCTCATCTTCATCCTCCTCCTCCTCTTCTTCTTCCTCATCTTCACTACCGTCATCACCTGAACCAGCCTCGCTCTCATCCTCCACCTCGTCCTCATCGTCCTCATCACTGTCATCATTCTCACTGATCACATCATCCATAATGACATCCTTCCCAGCCTCCTCCTTCTCCTGGGCCCTCCGCTTCTCGTCCTCGCGTCTACCCTGCTCAAGGATCTTAGCCTTCTCCTCTCTCAACTTCCGTTGCGACTTAACGAAAGCTCCCAGCGGCGTAGCCTCCCAGTCCAGATCCTTCAGGAAAGTCTCCACCTCAGCACGGTTTCTCGGCGTGTAAGAGACGCTCAATCTGCGTTCCTCGATGAAGCGTGCATTGGCCTCCACCTTTTGCACGAGCAGCAGGATCATCTGATTGACCTTGGCGTTCTTGTTACCTCCCGACCGGGAGCTAGCCTGCTTCAGCCAGCGCTTCAGCGAGACGACAATGGGGACAGAGAGTTCCGGGAAGGCGATGTGTTTTGTCCAGAGGACGAAGAATTCGGACAGGAGTTCGGCGATTTGCTCACCCACGCCGTCTTGGTAGACGCGTGTGCGGAGGTAGGATTTCGGTGCCCGGATGGCTGTGTTGAAGTCGAGTTGCCTCAGAGTGCTGGATTTCGGGGGCTTGCGCATCTCAGACAAGTTGAGGACTTCGAGGAGACTGGAGGCGAGGGGGATGTAGGTGCCCGTGCTGCGGGAGAGGCGGAGGAGGGAGCGGGTGAGTTGGAAGCGGAGAGGGAAGTACTGCGCTGTGGGAATTAGGCGCATAGCACCGATGGTGATTTGCACGACGGGGTAGATGAGGGGGCGCATGGCGGATTGTTTGCCTGCCTTGGCTTCGGCGAGACCGTCGCAGTGTTGGGAAAGGACGCGGGACCAGAAGTCCAGACTGTGTACGTATTGCCAGTTGTAGACGGTCTTGTAAGATTCCTTGGACGTGTTGGTGATGCTGCTGCGAAGGTGCATGGCGAGTTGGCGGATGAAGTTGAAGCCTGTTGTGTAGGAGACGTTCTGGTCGACGCCCCAGAGCTCTGCGGCAGAGTTCTTCATGAGGTTCACGCCAGAGAGGGTGTGCACGGTCGTGTTGCGGCTGCCCTTAACAACACCTTCGTAGGAAGCCTTGAGGACGGTTTCCTTAATACCGGCATCGCCGATAATCATGAGACGGCGGAGGATAAGGAAGGCCGTGATGCGCGTGGCCTCGGTAGTAGCAACGTCCGCCCAGATGCCGACAATGGTCTTGATAAGGACCTTGAGTAGCTTTCTGAACTGAAGGAGGTAGGGAAGCATAGGCTCGATGGAGGAGAGGGTGAGCTTCAGAGTCTGTTCATCGGACAGGTTGGTGAGCAGCTCGTGGACCGACGATGTGTGCGACTTGATAAGCGGCGTGAGAGTCTTGAACTTCTTCGAATCCAGATACACCTTGATCTTGCCAGAGGCGGTCTCCTTGACCGGAAGGTGGTGAGCGAGAACACGGGGAATGGTGCTGAGGGCTGTCACCAGGACCTGGTGATACACGTCGGGGTCGGAGATCGAGTACTTCTGCTCTTGGGCGTCGTCGTTGATATGAGCGGCGGCGCGGAAAGCAAGAACGGCCTGTCTCATCGCGCGGACCGAGTGCTGCTCCTCCATCAACTTCTGCCACTTCTTGACCATCGCAATAGTGAGGGTATTGTCAATGGTCTCCTCTTCCTCCTCCTTGGCTGCCTTTTTCTTCTTCTTGGCCGGTCCTTCTTCCTCTCCTTCGCTCAGCTCGTCCACTTCCGCAAGGTCTCCGTGGTCGCCGAAATCGAGCAGCTCGGCATCGTTTTCCTTCAGGTACTTGTAGAATTCAGGGTCCTTCTCCTTCAGCGCCTCGAGTTGGTCCTTGTGTGCTTCGAAGTCATCGGCGTCGCTGGACTGAGAGGCGGCGTCCTCGTCTTCGTCGCTAGCGCCTTCCTCCTCAGCGCTGGAAGCAGCAGAAGCCTCCTCCTCCTCCTTCTGCTCATCGGAGCGCTTGCGCTTGCCAATCTTGGGTGTGACATCCTTCTTCCGGGCTTTCTTCAACTCCGCGGCAGAATCAGCAATATCGAATCCGCCCGCGAAGAAGTCGTCGACGTTCATATCGGCGAAAGCATTTTGCTTCTGAACTTGCTCGGGGCTCTCCTCGGTAGCCTCCTCTCGATTGGCGCGGTCTTTGGCATTATCGGCCTTACGCTTGTCCTTGAGGTGGTTGCGCTGCTTGATCTTCGCATTGGCCTTCCGGCGTTCGAGAACGTCCTTCAGGTGCTTCTTTTCGAATTTCTTGGTGGATTTCTTCTGAGATCCGGCCATTGTGCCCGAGGTGCTTGCCTACCCGACCGAACGGATAGGATAAAATATGTGGGAAAAGTAGAATAAAGGACCACGACGGCAGTCGAGATACTTCGAGCACGCGGAAATTCCGCCCAAGAAAAATCTGGAGACGAAAAAAACATCCTGCGGCAGAATGGGGCGGTGAGTGGGTCCCCGTCATGGTGACCGCCTTCCCTTCCCCTCGCGATGATGCCAATCATCTCTTCCCCTCATCGCACCATCATGTATACCCAGCGACCGTTGGCGTACGCCCCTACGCCGTATAGCTATACGCCAAACCCGGCGTTGGCGGCATCTATCAACCTTGATGAAGTGAGTCGTCTGGAGGATGAAGAGGGTTGCTAGATCACCGACTAACTGTTGCGGTAGGAAGTAAAACTAGCTTCCAGCGCGGCGGAGCGGGATCTCTACGAGTCGTTGGCTGAGATCTATGGTATTATCGTGACTTTGGATGGCCTGGAGAAGGCTTATATCAAAGATGTGGTTACGGAAGCAGAGTACACGGAGACATGTACCCGGCTCTTGAAACAGTACAAGTCCAGTTTGGGTGATGAGACTGTTGCGAACGAGTTTGTCGATCTAGAGACCTTCAAACGTACCTGGGAGGTGAGTACCAAAATCGTGAACTTATTGTACGATGGAGTCTGACAATTCGGCTTGATCCTGTGTAGCTGGAATGCCCTCGCGCCACTGAACGTCTCCGCATCGGCCTCCCCGCGACAGTCGAACAAGCCTCCCACAGCACACCCGCCGCGAACATGGCTCCAGCAGCAGCAGGACCTGCAGGAGCATCTGGTAGCTTGATCTTGACGGCTACTGAGAATTTCATCACCTTTTTGGATGCACTGAAGCTGAACATGGTGTCCAAGGACGCACTGCACCCGCTTCTGTCGGAAGTGATCCAGTCCGTCAATAAAGTCACCGATGTCGACTTCGAGAACCGGGGCAAGATTATCCAGTGGCTGATCACATTGAATCAGATGCGTGCAACTGAGGAACTCGGTGAAGACCAGGCCCGGGAGTTGGCGTTTGACATTGAGCAAGCATACCTGGGATTCAAGGCCACTTTGGGTTGAACTTGCCTTGCAGGAGTTATTCACTGGTATTAGTGGGGAATGGTGCCTGGCGTCTGGGATGCGATACCAAAGTCGAGATTAGTTCTATTGCTTTAGAAAGTTGCTTGTTCCTATTTGCCATTGATCCATGCTCTTATCTCGATCTCGGCCCATCTTTGGGGCGGCGAATCCGATCCGCGGAACAGTCCCCGCCGGCCTTTCCTCTTTGGGAAATCACGACTTTTTTTTTGCTGCCCTGCATCCAGAACCGCCCAATCTTATTTTGCCACAGGCACACCGATATAAGACTGGAGCCTCGATTTCTCGTTCTCCGCATAGACCTACCACCATCCGTAGTCGGACTAATCAGCCCTCAGAACTTCTGCACCATGATAAGCGCCGATCCCGACGAGCCTCTCCACGGTACGTCTTCTCTCTCGGAACTTTCCCTTAACATCTCGGGGCGATAATGTACTGATAAGCCTGCTTCAGTGTTCGATCTTCCCCAGATCCATACTAAACCGTCCGGCACTGAGCTCATCCAAGCCCTCGACCTGCTAACAGTCAAACCGCGGAGTTTCGGGCCCGTAGCCCATGAAGCGACAAAGAGCCGGACTGTGCAGCCAGCCGGAGTGACCCGCTATCTGACATCTATCATTGCCAGCCCGCTGGCATGGCTCGACACTGACGAGCTCCGGGAGGCCGTCTGGGACGCCGCTGCAGCACGACTCAGCGAGCGCTCCGGTCGAACCGGTACGCAGAACTGATATTATTTTTGTAGTCCTTATTGCGCCATTATCTTGCCGCATCTAACATGATGTCTTGCTCTTCGAGCGAATAGCCATGCCCGCCATGTCCCGAGTCTTTAGCATCCCTAGTACCACATCCGATGGACTCGAAGGCGAAGAATTCACACTGACCCTCCACGAACCCTCCTTAACAGCCGACAACCTGGGCATGAAAACCTGGGTCTCCTCATACCTCCTCTCCCGCCGCCTCCACAACCTTCTCGAATCAACTCCCAACCTCGTCCCTATCACATCCACCACCCCGCAACCCCGCCCAGACAACAACAAGACCCTCCGCGCCCTCGAACTCGGCGCCGGAACAGGACTCGTGGGCCTCTCCTTCGCCGCACTGCGCGGCTCATCAGCCACAATCCATCTCACAGACCTTCCGGACATTGTGCCCAACCTAGCCCACAACGCAGCTCTTAACGTTGAATTACTCAATCGGACAGGCGGCGTCGTCACAACGGGTGTTCTTGATTGGACTGACACTCCGGACCCGCTGCCCACTGCGCAGGAGCAGTACGATCTCATCCTTGCTGCGGATCCGTTGTATTCGCCTAGTCACCCGAAGTTGCTGGTCGACACGATCACCCATTGGCTGAGTAGGGGGCTGGATGCCCGTGTTGTGCTGGAAATGCCACTTCGGGATGCGTATCTACCTCAGGTGCAGGAGCTGCGGGACCGGATGGGACGGTTGGGGCTGGCGGTGGTGGATGAGGGCGAGGAGATAGGCTATGACGATTGGGAGTCGGCGGATGGGGGAGCGTTGGAGGTGAAATGTTGGTGGTCGGTATGGGGATGGAGCGAGAAGCTCTAGGGAGGTCAGAAGAGGGCGGGGGAAGATATTATCCACGACGTCACGATGAAAAACGAGACACGATGATAGAGTCTAGACGTAGACTGATTGATTGCTTAGAACTATAGTCAACATGCTAGAATAGAGCCACGGATCCGTTATACATGGAACACTGTTCGATTCGAAATGCTTGCGAGGTAATAATATAGAGAAGATAGTAGATCCTTGGATTGGTCAAAACGGGGCTGCCACCTTCATGCCACTGTTGTAATTGCTGTGCCACCGGCATTTTCAGCTCTCCAGGACAGAACTGGGAAATATAACCAAAGTAGTCGCCTTGTTATGATCAAGCCAAGCTCCAGCCAAATATAAGCATCCCCATTATCTTGTCACAGCTAAAGAAAAGCAGTCTCGTTATCCGACACAGGGGACTCTGGAATACATGGTTCAACTGTCGCTTTTCTCGCATTCCTTCCGTTCTGACTAGACTACAAGTAAAACCCAATAAGTATCAAACCAGAGAATCCCAGTGCTAGGCGGACATACCTTCATACTATTACGAGTGATGAGACGACTGAGCGTTTCTATGTCGGTCTGAGAACCCCTTGACACACTAGGTCTGATGTCTCGAAGAGCCTCGACGAAATGCTGGGCTTTAAGATGACCTTTGGTCGGAGACCTGATTTCGCTACCCGGTGACTGCGAGGATGTATCATCCATAGTAGAGTGCAACGCAGCTTGTCCGCAGAGTGACCGCAATTCTGAGCCAGATAGGCCGGCTGATTGACGTGCGAGGGTCTTTAGGCTGACTTGAGGGTCGATTTCTGATTCCTTGAGGAACGTTTGCAAAATCTTGAGTCTTTCTTCCTCGTCTGGGGGCTTTGTCATAACCTTGTTGGGGAATCGCTGCAGGAAAGCTTCGTCTAGATCTGTGAGACGGCTTGTCGCGCACAGGAAGAAGGGTGTGTCTTCAGTCTGGGATAGCGCATCCATTTCCTGGAGGAACTGGGCCAGGGCCCTTCTTCGCCAGGACTGATCGTCAGTGGAACGACGGTGAAACAGGGCATCGACTTCGTCGATGAACAGAACACAGGGCGATAGCTTTTTGGTTAGTGTGAATGCGGCATGGATTGTTTTCTCTGCATCTCCCTCAACTTCACTGACGATGTCTGCTGGTTTGATTCGGAGCATGGTCGCTCTGGACTCGTTGGCGATTGCATGAGCTAGATGGGTCTTCCCAGTGCCAGGAGGTCCATGAAGTAAGACTCCTGTAGGCCTAGGTTGTTCCGGAAATACCTTTGAGGGATCCTCAATCTGACTTCTCCACAAGTGCACCAGTTTTCTTATGTGGTCCTTCACATTTTGCTCCAGAATAATATCGTCATAGGTGTGTTTCTGAGTTTCTGCTACCCGATTAACCTGGGGTCAGATTCTGGCTATAGACGCCCTTACCTGGGTCGATGATGGATTCTGAGAGCCCTAGCTCGAACTTGTTGCAACTCTTCCTAATTGCATCAACCTTTTCGGAGAAGCTGGGCTCCTCAACTTCCAGAGGCTCAGTTCTTGAGGGTTCTGGCGGCTGCGGTTGCTCGCAACTATTACGCTGCAAGATCTCGAGTATGTCACTCAGTTCCAGTACCCCTTTGACGCAAACTCGCCCCAAAACTTGACAAGCAATCAGCGTGTAGTCCATATCATCATGAAAATCGGTTAACAAAGTATCCGGTATATCCAAGTGTACGGCGTCGGATAGCAACTCGGAAGCGAAGCCTATGGGCAGCCTTTCTCGTATGGACCCTTTCAGTTTTCTAGCTCTTCTCGCAATTTCGAGCTGTTTCTTCTCTGTTTCTGATGCGATCTTGTGTTTTAGTGACTTTGGGTCATCGAACCAAACGATAAAAGAAGGTGTGATATTAAGTTCCCGTCGAGAGTCATGGTTCATATCGCTGATGATAAGCAATACAAGCTCATTATTCTTCCAACGTTCCATGACAGCATTCTTGAAATTTTGAATGACATCGTAGGATATACAATCAATCTCGAATGAGTTGCGAAGGTGGAGTATAACTCGATCGCTTTGTCTAGAGGCCGTGCTCCGGGGTTCAGATGGCGAAGGCTTCTGTTCAATCTTCGCCAAATGAGCATTCAAGATAGACTCTATTGAGCACTGACTCCGTAGGCTCTTTCCGTCTCCGAAATAATAATTGATCATCTGATCTCTATCTTCAACTATAGCGTAATCAGTGTCGCTATGGTCTTCATTGAGACAGATAGCTGAGTCTGCACCCTCTACCGTCTCTTTGAAGAATATTGATGGCTTATATTCACTTTGACACACAGAATCTGCGCAAAAAGAGCGGTCTTCGTGTTGCTGAGCCGATTCGTCTTGTTGATAAAATTCACGAGCAAGCTTATATAGATCCTCAGGCCCAGCTGAGATGCAGGATGCACCCATATCTCCTGCTAGGTGTTCTATTATGGCTGTAGCGCAGGCAGAACTTTCAACTTCCACTGCCATACAAGGCCATATGCTACCTCGCTTCACTTTTGGAAACGAAACCTTGCTGAGTAGAGCAGCAGCAGCAAGGTCATAGAGTTCTGCGTATCGCTTCTTTTGAAAGACATACTCATCCACGGCTTCAGTTTGATCCTCGCCAATCCCATTCTTGCTTCTACCGTCTGGATTAGTATCCGTACAGGGACCCACTTCCTTATCTCTTTGAAAGTTAAGGTTACTACTTTGTTGTAGACGGATTGGTGTCCGATGCTCTGAATTGGTTCTGACATTCTCCGCTACAAACCAGGCGGGAAGGGAATAGGGATGCCGACGGTGCAGTGCTTGGTAAAGTTAATCGTTGCGGACCCCAGACGCCAACAGAAACGAATAAACAAGGATCACACAGAGAGAGTACAACCTTTAAGCTTACCTCTACCTTCATCGACCATTGTGGATGGCATCACAATCAGGTCCTCAATTGAGCCGCAGACGAATGCGAAGAGTTGCACATGGTGGTGGTCTTCATTCCAAGGATATTTGATGGCTTATCTAGACTTATATGAGAGAATGGCAGGGCTGTCACTGTGAGAGGCGATTAATTCCTGTTTTAGACAGTTTTGGAACTGCTGCCCCTTGCTGCTGCACCACACTCGTATGAATCATGCGACGGTATCAGCGACAGCTGGTACCTGAAGCAATTCGAGTCAGCTTGTTACAATATGCATAGCTTCGATCCCATGCCCGTAATCGAGCTGAATTGGCTCAAACTATAATGTTAATTAGTTGTATCTCACGAAGTCTCGCCCAACAACGACCGACTCGCCAGAGCTCCAGGTAATGACATTGCTAGATTTCTGCAGCATTCCCGACCCAGAATGCCACATACCTATGGTAGGTAGCACTACCACTTTCAACGGTTGAGTCCACACAACTAACTGCGAGCTTACACTGATTCACAATGGCAGTCGAATCATAACACTGTAATATAGTATCCGAATGATCATGTCGGCCTTGAGATGGAAGGGATTCCATATTAGTGCCTTCAAGGCTTCCACTGCGTATATCAATACTTAGTCATCTCAAATAGCAAGTCTGTTCAGCCGCATAACCCTTGCGACATGGTATGGACTGCTTCATAGCCAATAACAACGCGGGCTCAGTACGTCCCACGAGTCAGCGTCCATATTTGGGAGGCCACTGAAAATGCCTAAGAATGATTGGCTACCAAGGCACTGGATAGAGAGCATGCCGTACTTATAATCCCCTCCTGGGATGCTCCAAAGAAAAGGAGTCATGATCTCTTCGTGTTGACTCGCGAAGGGAAGCGCATAGGATGTAGATGGATAGATCGGAGGGTGGAGACATCAAAGCGTAGTTGCTGGAGCCTTCGATGAGCCAGGCATCAATCAGGCAGCGAACCAGGTCAGCCACCGATGACATATGACGACGCTCGGCACCGCCACCAGCGATAAGTGATATTGGATTCTACGCCTGTACTTAATACAAACAAATATGATGCTCAGTGCTTAGCTCTCCCCAAATACCGCTTCTCTATTAGTCAAATTGCCTACCTTCAATCTTTAATCAACAAGCGCAAAGTATCAGGCTATCAACATGGTTATCGGTCTCCTAGCAATTACCGCCATCCCCACCGTCACCGGCGTGGCCATGGGGGTGAGTGAACAGCGCAAAGCAAATGAGAGGAAGAATGATGAGCGACGCATGGCAAAGTTCAATATCGATGTCGCACCACCACCAAATGAGGAACCTGACGATGAGGTTCAAGGGTTACGGGTGGTGCTGAGGGACTTCAAGGTGCGATCAAGTGTTTCCGCTGCGATATAGTTCTTGCTCTTCGTTGTTTTGTATATCAAGTGAGTCTGACTAGCTAACTGATTTTTGTTGATCTAACAGGTTTATCTTGATGATCCTGTGCCCTCGAAGCGAAAAGTCCCCGCGCACACCGCGGCAGCGTTTTATATTGAGTACCCAGAGCCAGACCATATGAAGCACCTCAAGCGGGGTTTTGGATTGGCGACCACTATTTCAGATAACCCGCCGATGTTGGGTTGGCTATACGCCGATACTAATACACATGAAATGAAGTATGGAAACCGATCATCGAGTTGCGATCATGTTGTTGGGCCGTGGGATTGGGAGGATGAGGAGACCACGGTGACACTGGAGGAGAACAGACAATTTGTGGCAGTGCAAGAAGACGATGGCTGTTGGGCGCTATACTACGATCGCGATGGCGATGATCTGGAGCGTGTATTGGAGGAACAGGGCAAATTGGATAATGATTTCCAACCCTTAAGATTGAAGCGGAACCTGATTGAACAGCCTGTACAAAAAACAAAAAATGATAATTCGTGATCTATATCGAAATGCTGGTTTGGGGAATCGTAAGATAGACTTTTCATATTTGTACAGAAACACCAACGGGTTAAGCACAACCCACATCCATAGGAGCCTAGTCCTCAAGTCCTTGCCAGCCCTGATTGTCGTCGTCACTGCCAGAGTCTGCGCCTGACTGTGGTTGAGATTTCCTGTTGCGGCTAGCTGAGATGAGTGCCTTCTTCTTGTTCTCCTGGCGTCGCTCGTAACCACTCTTGGTACTAATTCTCATCTTCTTGTCGTCCTTCGTGCCTTGAGTCTGCCTGGCCTTGACGCCGTGCTTCTTGAGCTCCTCCTTCTTCTTCTTGCTGAGGTCCGGAAGAGCGTCCAGCAGCCACTTCTGTACCGACTTCTCTTCATTTGTGCCCCGTAGCTTCTCGCTGACGTCGATTACATTGGCGATGCTCTTAACATAAGGAATGTCCTCCTTGGTGTAGTATGTGACTGCGATGCCACCTTCACGGCCAGCTCTGCCCGTGCGTCCAACACGGTGGACGTAGACGGCAGCGGAATTCGGGATATCGTAGTTAACAACCCCGTTGATACCTCTGAAATCAACGCCACGGGCCAAAAGATCTGTGGTGACGAGGATCCAGATCTCACCCTTTCGGAACTGCTTCATGATCTCGGAACGTTGGCCGTCTGATAGCTCAGAGTGGAGAACAGCGATACGTGACGAGCCACCCGCCTCGGGAGGAATATCGTAGCGCAGTTCTGAGTGTAGCGCAACTGCTCTGGGAATTGTCTGAGTGAAGATCAAGAAAGGTGGGCGTAAACGGATGTCCGTAGATGATGCCGCGGCGGGGTGCAGGAGCTGACGAAGACCGAGCAGCTTTCCTTGCTCAGTGGCAGCATAAACCAGCTTGTGCTTGATGTTTGGAATGGCAGAGTCCTTGAGGCCAACCACCAGACGAAGCAGCGGATAAGACTTGGTCTCGCTTAGAGTGTCTTTCCGTTCCTTGATTGTTGACTTAGCGAGGTCTTCGACATTCGACCCCATCGTCGCTGACCAGAGACTTGCTCGGAGCTCAGGATGCGTGCAGGAACGCCAGATGTCAAGTGTTTGGTCGCGGAACAGAGGGTCCAGGAGAACATCCGCCTCATCCAGAACCACATTTCGCACCAGAGGGAGAGTTGCCAATGGTTTCGTCCGGTTTGCAGAGAGCGCGTTAACAAGAAGCAATGGTGTCGTTACGAGGATGTCGCTCTTAGTGACGGGCGCCTTCCCTTTGCTGTTTTTTGCTGTAGCCTTTTCATCATCTTCAGAGCCCGACGATTCCGAATCATCTTCATCTAGAACATCTTTGCTATCGTCTTCGTCATCACGCTCTACCACACGCATGCCCTTCTTCATCAGGGTGATCTTCACACCGGTTCCCAGAGCTAACTTGCGGCCTTCGTTGACGATTTGGCTAGCAAGCTCCTTTGTCGGGGCAATCACAACAGACAAGATACCCCGTTCCTCCGGATCTTCGTGATGGTGCCGGACAATCTTGTTGATCACCGGAATCATGAATGATAGCGTCTTGCCACTTCCTGTAGGCGCAACGACCAGTAGATCCGGTTCGATACTCTTCCCGGTGCCCGACTTCTGAGCCACCGATTGGTCTCCGAGCAAAAGAGGAAGACTTCCTAGTTGAACTTCGGTAGGGACAGTAAAACCTTGCTCAGCAATGTTTTCCGCGAGTCGTCGGGAAATGTTGTACTTGGTGCGCAGCTGTTTGAAGGAAACCAAAGGCTCCGGAAACAACCGCCGGGCTTTCTTCTGCTCTTTCTTAGTGAGCGTTTGAGCAGGCTCCTCTTCCTGCTGCTTTCTCTTCTTCTTTTTCTTCTTAGATTCCTCTTTCTGAGGCTGAGTGGGTTGAACTTCCTCGAAGTCACGCATATCAGTGACCTTGATCTTGTGAGAGTTCAAGATCGTCCGGCGCTCGACTTCATCCATCGAATCATCGCCTTCGGAATCAGATGCATCTTTCTGCTCAGACGGTCCATCTTCATCCTTTTTCGCCGATGCGCTGGCCGCAGACCGTTTACCTGAGCCAAAGAAATCTAGATCGCCAGCATTGCCATCTTCTGCATCTGAATCACCCGCGGCTTGCGTGCGCTTCCTCTTTTTCCCGGAAGCATTTGACTCCAGAAGCGTTTCGTCACGGAAAAGCTGGGGGTTCTCGGCCTTGCCTTTGGAAGGCAGGGTCGAAGACAGGGTATTACCAGCCTTGAATTTGGTGGACCTTGTCAATAACTTGAACGCATCCATTTTTGAATATATATGAACTAACGGTCCATGCGACTAGGTATATTAGGTGGACAAGAGCGTCCGAGTCCCAGCGATCGCGAGCTTGATATTGATGGTTGTCGAGTAGTCGGACTTAATGAGGAAAAAGTTTCGATGCTGAAATTCTTTACCGCACGGGCCAATCAGAGGCAAGCAACCCTCACCTCCATCAAACGGATAATTCTCGAAGCTCTCAGTCATCAAGCCCGAGATATTGAGTTGCCTGGTCTGACGCTCGTGCGCTTTATGATTTGGGAATAGCTACGTATGTCAATAATGGACTTTGAAATCCTCGTGCTTAATTCAGATCTGTTTCTTCATTGTATCCCACTGACACCTGAGGCAGAAATCGAGCTCAAGTATCGTGGCCACGACCGACTCTCAGCACAGACCGATTGAACTTTGTAACATGCTTATAGCCTTAAGATAGTCATGGCTTAGAAATACGACCATCAGTCACCTAAGGCAGTGCCGCTTTGATAGCAGAATGCCTGCTATGGTCTACAACATCTCCCCTTAAGTAGCCAGAATTTCAACAAAACAGTCGTCCCCATGCATGAACCTAAATCTAAGACAACAACAAATGAGACGTGCCCAATTGCTCGTATCGCACAACCTCAGACAACAGTTTATTCCATCGTCTATCATACAATAGTACAGCACACAAAGGAAAACGGGAAAGGGAAGGAAGACAGGCTAAGTCACGAGTGCTTGGTATTTATCTAGTGGTGTCCGTGGTGCTCAGGCTGTCCCTTGTAGCCGACGATGTTCATCCGACCAATGATCTCGCCAACGGTGAAGAAACCAACGATCTCCGCGGCGGTGACACCAGCCAGAGCGATCTCCTTCTTGTTGGCGGTACGAACGCGGGAGATGATGTTCGAGGGAGCGAAGCTGGAGTTCTTGAAGGCGGCAGGGTTACGGAAGGCGTTGGTCAGAGGCTGGAAGTAAGCCTGGAAGGTGGCCATGTTGCTATAATCCGTATTAGTTGACAAGGGTCACGGTTCGTTCAGATTAGTTGTGGGCGCTTACGGAGGAGTCATGTTCTGGCCACGGAAGACCAGCTTAGCAAGCTCGATTCCGACCTTCGAGTAGTAGACGGTAGGGGGTATCATGGCTGCATTGACACGACAGATGATTAGCAATGCTCCGATAGATATGACAGAAATCCGGGGATGGCTCCACTCAAGGAGTGAATCACGACATGACGGCGTCCGGCAATGCCACCGTCATGGTTTCATCCCAATGGATATTCAAAGGGGTTATTCGGTGCAAATATCATGGGGAGTCCGCTTACAGTCGACAAAAGCGATGACTTTTCCGGTCCTTCCACCGACCTTCCTGAGGGCGCTACCGAGACCCTGGGCAGCATTCGAGATGGCGGGGCCAGCCGTCGAAGAGACGCGAGAAAGACCCTCAGACGCCTTCGAGGCAGCAGAGGAGGCAGTCTCACCAGCCTTGGAAGCGGCTTCGGAGGTCGAAGAAGCGTACCTGACCGCAGACCTGCGGGTCAGGAACTGCGATTGCCGAAGCACGGCACGGGACGCCGTGGCGGGCATCTTGAAGACCACTGGGGGAGATAAAACGCTAAAAGGAAAGAATGACTCTGGAAAGTCGCAGGTGGAGGACAGAAGAGTCCAATGGCGGTAGGGTCAAGAGCCGGTGACACTGGATCGTCGCGCAATTGCAGGACCAGAATTGAGATTTGAAGTTCGGGAAGTTCAGGGAAGAGCCTCCACTTCCGTGTCACGTGCGCTCGCGCTCATGCCTTGTTTATCAAACCATCACATCAACTTGATCTTTGCAAATCCAACACACTTTGCGATTTCGCTTCTTATAATTATCCATTCGGCTAATCGCGCATTGATACTACATCTAGACTAATAAGGTCAAACTTTGTGGTCCGGAGTATCTCTACAACATCCGAGGCTTCCGTTCTGCCGAATGGCCGTGCTAATTACCTCGCAATCGACATGTCAGTTTGAGCTGGCTAATCCAAAGATAGACATAATGTGCCCACCACATGTGGAACACTTCCATGCCAAATAGAAATCCTCAGTGGGTGGCTGACTGGATAACAAGGAGTATCAAGCTTTATGTCACGTCGCATCCATTTCAACCTATTCCCTAACACTATGCCTTGACAGCCACCGAGAGCCAGCCATATCACCTATAGCCAGTTACCGGCGCTATCAAACGAACTAGAGGACCATTTAGGGGTCTTCGTTTCAGACACCTGTCGCGGCTAAGCGAACAGGCTATTGGATGTCAAACGCTTCACATAACCCAGCACATATAATCGCCTGAGATATCGTCACCTATGGGTACAGTACGACATCCAGATTTGCCAACGACATGAATCCTTGATGAGTATATGTATACACATCTTTTTTCGACAATGGACAAAATTCGGCAGTGATTATGCTAACATAGTCATCATCAAACGGATATCGTTATGAGATCATTGATTCTGTTCGTATTGCACCTCGTGTTGACCTATCAGCGCAAATAATTGGCTGCCTGTCATCCATGACGCCCATTAATCTGAGGTGAAAGCAGCCTTCTGTTCCGACAAAGCCTTGGCGATGCTAGACATCATTGTTCGATTGGTTGCACGATAGCTTTATATCTCTTAGGAGCCTTCTTGGTAGTCACTGAACAACAATCATTCCATGGATCATACAGTCTGACAGCTGCTCCATGAACCACTAGTAGCACACCCCCTCAAATATAATAATATTTGTTTGCTCTCTTCTCTTAGTTGTTCTGCGTACAAGCCTCCTTAGCTTAGAAACCTAGCAGACGACTGAACAAAATGATTAAAACAGGTGTACATACTGCTGATAACCCCAGCACAAGAACGAGATGAGACGTATGTACTGAATCACATCCAGTTTCTATGAGATATCATGCACCAAAACCCCCTATCACGGCAGCTTCTGGACTTCTCCAAGTACCCAGAGTAGTGCACCAGCACACCAGCTCTATAAGGCTACTCAAGTCAGATGATATGGCAAAGCCTCTGAAGTCCTTTCTGTCAGAAGATATGATCAATGCGATATCAATCGTATGAAATTTGCAGTTATAATAAAGGTATGTAAAACTAGCTTGGATCCACGGGCTGTGCTCAGGCTACCTCAATGGAGATAGTGGATACTGGGATAATGGTACTGAGTAGGAGAACTCAAATCCCCTTTTTCTATGGCAAGGGCCCCCGGTATTTGGCTAAGATGCCGGACTCCACAGCTTTCACATGGAGCCGTCGGGCAACGGCTCGTCGACGATCTTCAAATAGACGGAAGAGTAATCGTCTCTCTTGATGACCTTTCGTTGCTAGGGAGGAAGATTTTGGGCCTGATTTATCAATTCAAACAGGGAACGAAGGCGTGTGCTGAGGGAGTGTAATCGCATTGAGGGTTTTCGGGGTGATAAAGGCAGTGATGACATATGTGTATAGAGAGAGAGAAAGAGTAGGTGGGATGGTTTGGAGTTCTGTAAATGGCTTCTATGACTTATAAGTAGCAATAAACATAACAATATATACACTGTTTACAATAAAGTCGACGAATCTTCTCATCTTGATGTAGTTAGATTTAAGACTACTGAACGTATTGGAAAATCGCTCTTCTCCTGTTGGGCCCGGTATCTCAGCCCAGAAATAACCGCATTCTTGTCGACTGCTACTTGAGCGGAGACCCGAGTACCAGTATATGAAGTAAGTCACTTGGGCAAATTACCCTCCGGTAGGCTATCAGGATCAGCTTGAGTGCAATTTCACTAGCAATGGGACCCCGATTAGCAATGGAGCCAAGCACACGTTTGCCCATATCAGGAAGCACAAGTGCTCATAATCGGGCAAACGGGCAAACGCTGTACAATTAGTATGGGAATCAGATCGAAGCAGCCTTGGTACCAGGACTTCCAGATCAGGAGAAGTGAAAAGATAGACCGTCGGACTATTTGGTGTCCCGGGTATTCATTCCCACTGTGGCTGGCTGTTTTAGCCGACCAGTAGTCTAATCTGGAAAGTACTGTGGACTTATAGGGGTCAGATTTTGTTGTTTGATGTCGATCTCAGCCCTCTGGGTTCAACGCATGGCTTTTGATCTGCTGATGAGGACCAAGGGTGGACCGATCCATGGAAGGATTCTGAGAAGGATGGTTGGTGTTCCTGATATAGTCACGTGAAAAGCCTAAATCGGAGATCCACATGCCGCTTAGTCATGGGGCGCCACCAACTTCAAGATTTCTCTTCACCTTTTTGCGTGTCGCGCCACGACGCAATCAAAGGTGGCTTTGCATTAGCAGTGCGCCCTGATTGTGCGACTGGTGTGACACCTACATCATCTCCGGCAGAAAATCCCAGTTGAGGCTATTTTTACTGCGTGGCGCAGAACATCTGCTGTGTATACCCAAAACCAAGCCTTCAAAGGCGGATTAAGCTTTATCCTCCATGCCACATCAATAAGGTTCTGGCAGCTGAGCATAGGATGATCTCTTCGCCATTCCACAGAAAAAAATTGTCCGGTTGATCTGCCCTGCTATTTTTTTAATCAGCGGAAAATTGAGTTGCTCTATTGATTCTGGATCCGTTCCGTCGTCGGCACCACTCCGTGATGTTCACAAATTATCAGTCTCGCGAGGCATACAGACAGGCTCAATTTCGCCCCTACTTGATCCTGCACACATTCCCAATTCAGCCCTCTCTCGTCCGTGATAGACAAGCAATGACAAGGCGGATCACAAATGCTTGCTGTTGGACACTAAATTGTCTGCCTAACAAGTGTATACGTAACGCCCATCGAAGCCAAGATCAGTGGGTCTCCACACCGTAGACCATGGTCCAATTCTAGAATCAGAATTGAGGAAGACAACTCACTTGATTGGGCTCTCTAACTCTTCATAGTATGGCTCGTTTCATGAACAACGATGCTGAATGGATAGCCTTACATAGCTTTGGGCCCCATCTACCTGCTGTCCTTTGATTCTTAAGCCAGGTCTTCCCCTACGTTTGCTGTCTTTCTCTTGCATTGCATCTTCTGCACAACAAACAATCAGAATCTTAAGAAAAGACCAAATTCACAATGTTTGGCGACAGTATTTTCAGCTGGTTCAAGTCCTCCAAACAGGAATCGGCCCCTGAGGCCACCTGGGACCCCAACACTGTTACGATGACCCAGCCTCAGAGCCCTGCCGGTCCTACCACTGAGGGTGTCGTTACCGGTCAACCTGTACCGTGTCATCCTGATCCTAAGCTTTCTTTGTTCATTGACGCTAACATGAACAAACTAGATGCCCAACAACAACATGGATGTGAGCCTTCGTGGTGGTGGTCCTCCCCCCGGACCTGGCGGTGACGAGTAAGTGACCACTACTCGAACCCTTAAATACAATACATTCGTTAGATTGGACCTAACCATACGTCTTGAATAGTTGCTGCTGCTGTCTCGACTGCTTCTGCTGCTGCGGTGACTGCTGTGGTCCCGACGGCCCCCCTGGTGGCCCTGGCGGTCCGGGAGGTCCTGGTGGTCCTGGTGGCCCCGGTGGTTGGTAAAGAATACCAACGTCTACGATCATGTTTCTTTTCCTTCCTATCGTTTTACTCGCCACGTTCGTACTTGATACCACTATACTGAATGTGATGTTGTGGCGCAATGGATAAGCGGGAGCTTGTTTGCCGGACGGGGGTCTTGTCAATGGCAGATGAGCTCTGTGTCATGGTTGCTTTATATAATACTATGTTGTTATTGGTTATGTTATATGCAAGACTCTCGAATTACTGGATCACCTATCACTTGGGAATATTTCAACGCCCTTGCCGCTTGGGGCGTACTTTAATACTATAAAGACTGTATTCTAGTCCAAAGGTTTCAACAATACGGCATAATGCAATATTATGATCCAATTGGATATATAAGCTTTGTATAAATATTACAAGGCTTGCATACGATATATATTCCGCGGCACTTAATGCACAAATGCATATGGAACTGCTATGAACACAGTGGAATTATATTCCTGCCTATGCCAAGTAGCACAGCTATGTGAGCCTTACGTGCGTTTCGTCAAGATCAGGTATCCTGCATAGCTGACCGGTAGCACAAGGCTGAGTATGAGCTGCATAGAAAGACTCACTATTATCTATATAAGACGCAATATGTTAAATTCCGTGGTACATGATCGACCTAGTTCGAGTATCTAAGTGGGTTTATGGTTATCCAGTAAAAAACTATCGTGTTCTACCAAGTAGTCAGAACCCGCGGGACAATAGATAAGAGCTAGATTCTAGTTTTCACAGTGGATCTGGCATGCTCGAGCGCTTGAGAGCGCCTAACAAACGCTTTTTCTGATTGACTTCCGGATTTGATGCCCTTGCAGGTTAAATGAAACCATAATACCCTGGTTAACAACAACATAAGGTCCACGATAACAGTAAGGTACACAAAACACGTAATTGAAATCTACCAATAGAAGAAGATCATTTACTAGCCATCCAACAGTGGTACTACTACTTGGCAACCACTGCTTCATTCCGCGGGCGTTTATCAAGACATCGGATATCATAGGTGGCTGGCTAGCTGCTAACCCTTGCCGCCTATCAAGCATAAAGCATTCCAATCATGTCACGCCCAACCCAAGTAATGATCATCTTCCACTCTCAGCCAACCAGCATCCAATAATGTATAAAATTCTGTTCACGATATCTCACCGCAAGAAGCAAGAGCAAATAATGATCACTAATAGAAGGTTCTCCGGGAGAATAATAAATAGCGACGAGG